CTTAAACAATTTAATTTCTTGTAAAAATCGAGGGCTATATTTTTTTGACGAATAGAAATTATCAAACAATGTGTTTTTTAAATCGCTCAAATATTAAATAAAGTGAGATTTAAACGATTTAAATTTTCAAAAAATTTAAATTACTTCCAAAATTTAAAATCAAGTACAATATTTGTATTGTGAGATATAGAGAGCATCATACAATGTGTTTGAAACCTCTCAGAGGTCAAATAGAGTGAGATTTAAAAGATTTAATTTTTTTTAATAATTTAAATTGCTTCCAAATGTAAAATTATGTACTACATATATATTGTGACAGATAAAAAACATCATACAATGTGTTTTGAAACCTCTCAGAGGTCAAATTAAGTAAGATTTAAACGATTTAAAATTTTCAAAAAAATTAAATTGCTTCCAAATGTAAAATCAAGTACTACATATGTATTGCAACAGATAGAGAACATCATAAAATTTGTTTTGAAACCTCTTAGAGGTCAAATAGAGTGAGATTTAAACGATTTAAATTTTTCACGAAATTTAAATTGCTTCCAAATGTAAAATCAAATACTAAATATGTATTGCGACAGATAGAGAACATCATACAATGTGTTTTGAAACTTCTAAGAGGTCAAATAGAGTGAGATTTACACGATTTAAATTTTTCAAAAAATTTAAATTGCTTCCAAATGTAAAATCAATTACTATTTATGTATTGTGACAGATAGAGAACATCACACAATGTGTTCTGAAACCTCTCAGAGGTCAAATTAAGTAAGATTTAAACGATTTAAATTTTTCAAGAAATTTAAATTGCTTCCAAATGTAAAATCAAGTACTATATATGCATTGTGACAGATAGAGAACTTCATACAATGTGTTTTGAAACCTCTCAGAGGTCAAGTAGAGTGAGATTTAAACGATTTAAATTTTCAAAAAATTTAAATTGCTTCCATATGTAAATTCAAGTACTATATATGCATTGTGAGAGATAGAGAACTTCATACAATGTGTTTTGAAACCTCTCAGAGGTCAAGTAGAGTGAGATTTAAACGATTTAAATTTTCAAAAAATTTAAATTGCTTCCATATGTAAATTCAAGTACTATATATGCATTGTGACAGATAGAGAACATTATACAATGTGTTTTGAAACCTCTCAGAGGTCAAATTAAGTAAGATTTAAACGATTAAAATTTTTCAAAAAAATTTAATTGCTTCCAAATGTAAAATCAAGTACTATATGTGTATTGCAACAGATAGAGAACATCATATAATGTGTTTTGAAACCTCTCAGAGGTCAAATTAAGTAAGATTTAAACGATTTAAATTTTTCAAAAAATTTAAATTGCTTCCAAATGTAAAATCAAGTACTATATATGTATTGCAACAGATAGAGAACAACATACAATGTGTTTTGAAACCTCTCAGAGGTCAAATTAAGTAAGATTTAAACGATTTAAATTTTTCAAAAAATTTAAATTGCTTCCAAATGTAAAATCAAGTACTATATATGTATTGCAACTGATAGAGAACAACATACAATGTGTTTTGAAACCTCTCAGGGGTCAAATTGAGTGAGATTTAAACGATTTAAATTTTTCAAAAAATTTAAATTGCTTCCAAATGTAAAATCAAGTACTATATATGTATTGCGACAGATAGAGAACATCATATAATGTGTTTTGAAACATCTCAGAGATCAAATAGAGTGAGATTTAAACGATTTAAATTTTTCAAAAAATTTAAATTGCTTCTAAATGTAATATCAAGCGCTATATCAGATTTCAAAACACATTGTCTGATGTTGTTTATCTGCCAAAATACACTTGTATACATTTTGTTACATTTGTAAGCAATTTCAATTTTTCAAAAAATTTAAATCGTTTAAATCTCATTCAATTTGACCTTTGAGAGATTTCAAAACACATTGTTTGGTGTTCTCCATCTGTCAAAATACAAATTTCATCTTTGAATTTTCATTTGGATGAAATTTAAATTTTTTGAAAAATTTAAATCGTTTAAATCTAGCTTTATTCGGCCTCTGAGAAATTGCAAAACACATTGTATATTGATCTCCCTCTGTCGTAACACAGATATAGTATTTAATTTTACATTTGGAAGCGATTTAAATTTTTTGAAAAATTTAAATCGATTAAATCTCACTCAATTTGACCTTTGAGAGATTTCAAAACACATTTTATGATGTTCTCCATCTGTCTTAATACAAATATAGTACTTGATTATACATTTAGAATCAATTTAAATTTTTTGAAAAATTTAAATCGTTTAAATCACACTTTATTTGACCTCTGAGATGTTTCAAAACACATTGTATGTTGTTATCTATTTGTCACAATACATATATAATACTTGGTTTTACATTTAGAAGCAATTTAAATTTTTTGAAATTTTTAAATTGTTTAAAACTCACTCTATTAGACCTTTGAAATATTTCAAAACACGTTGTATGATCTTCTATATCCGTCAAAATACAAATGAAGTATTCGACATTTGGGAGCAATTCAAATTTTTGAAAATTTTAAACCATTTAAATTGCATTCTATTTGTCATTTGAGAAATTTCAAAAATCACCATATGTTGTTATCGATCTTTTAAAATGCAGATGTATCATTTAGGAACCATTTCAATATTTTGAAAAATTTTAATTGATTAAAAGTCACAATTTTTGACCTTTCAAAGATTTCAAATTATGTGGTCTTATGTTTTCAATCCTTAAATATGCAATAATAGTTCTTATTTTACCTTAGAAAGCAATTTAAAACAAAATTGAAAAATTTAAATTGTTTCAATTTCATTATATTTGACCTTTGAAAATTTCAATTACACTGTGAAATAATTTTTGTTTATATCAGAGGACACAAGCTAAAGATCATAAAGTACAGTCATTCTCACCAACCGCAAGCGTCCTTCACAATGAGTTTGACATGTTCTGTCAAAACAGCATGCTAATATACCTGAGGTAATTGTTTCTTAATTAGTGCATTAAAAATCACAAGATATATACCGTTGGAAAGGTCTTGAAAAGATCTATTTGATGGTTTAAAAATTTTTAAAATCGGTCAAGAAATGAGCGAGATATGACGTTTTACATACATCAAAGGATTTCCACCAAAGATCAAAGACATCTAAAGAGTACCGTCTAACCGCAAGGATCCTTGATAATGAATTTGACATGTCCTGTCAAAATGAAAGGCTAACTTACCTGAGCTTATATTTTCTTCATTATTACACGTACAATAAAAAGAAATATACCGTTGGAAAGGTCTTGAAAAGATCTATCTGATGGTGTAAAAAAATTAGAAATCAGTCAATAAATAAAAAAGATATGAATTTTTAAAAGAAAAGTTCTACAAGTACATTTGCACTCTAATGTCAAAACACACCTGAGCTTATAAAATGTTCATTTTTGTACTCACATACAAAACAAATACATTTTTGGAAAGTGCTTGCAAAGATCTATTTGATGACATAAAAAAAATTGAAATTGGATTAAAAAATTTTTTTTGAAAAATTTAAATTAAAAATTTGAAAAATTTAAAAAATTTCTTTAAAATTTAAAAGCCTGTTACAAAAGTAGAGTTCACATTTAATCATACCTGAAAATTTCAAATCTCTATTTTGCGTAGTATTCTCAATGAAGGACGGACAAAAATTGTAGAAATTACGTCATATTTCACGACCGGAAGAAAAATTAGAAAAAGTGAAGGTATTGGATTGAGCCATAAATGTTTCCTTTCATCACCGAAAGTTTCATATAGATCCACTGTACCGTTACTGAGATATCAGTGAAGGAAAAAAAATAATAATAAGAAAAAGAAACATTACAATAATAGAAGGGTCTTCCGTTGGAGACGGAAGACCCTAATAATAATAAGAAACAGAGTAAAAACAATATGTTCCCCAACTTCGTTTGGGGAACATAATAAAGAAAATTTTTACTATTATTCAGTGGTATAGAAGGAGTTGCGACAAAGATACGTACCCTTCAATATCAGTTATAGAAAGAATGGCAGTGTCCATGTCTTGGTCTGGAAAACACGAAATACGTGTTCGATCAAAAAATAAAATAGGAGGTGGACAATGTCAATATTTGTAACAAAGATTGTGTGAAAATCTCTTTAAAATTCATTTAGTGGTATACGAGGTGTTGCGGATATAGGGTACCCCAAAGCGTAACAGAGAGACGGACAACCCTATCACTTCATAACCTCCCACTTTTCAAGCGGGGGTATAATTAAATACGTATTAAGAGACAAAGGTTAAATATGCCACCTATCCTTCGACTTCGGAGAACAAAAGATGCTTCTGTACAATGAACAAGTTTCTTACTGAAATTGTTTTCCATAATTGAATTGCGACTTCTGAAAATATTTTTGTTAAAAGTTTATACACTGAATAAATATATTATGTACCATTTTTTCGTTGTATATTTACTGTGATATACAGATTATATTCCGTGATTTGTGGACATTATCTTTTATATTGACAAGCCTAACCAGGCTCCGGGGTACCTCCTTAGGAATTTGTAACAGCTGATTTAAAAAGTAGACCAGTATATAGATATTACTGTTAGCTGGCACACCAAGCGATTCCATACTTTGCCACCTAATTGAGAAAGGCATCAAGATTGGAATATTGACCAATCCAAGTGTTTACATAGCAACAGAAGGAGCCATTCATCAAGAAAGTCGGACATGGGCTATCTCTGTTTATCTCAGGCACGACGAACAACAGAAAACCTCTAGACCTCGCCCGCACCGGGACTCTGAACAACAACAAAAAAATCAAAGGGAACTCATATTTAACAAATTCTACAATTTCTAACTACATATCCAATCTCTGTAATCTTAATGTGGCATTTTATGTTTCTTATCAGTTAAAATAAGCTGTGGCTGTGAATAAGACAAACAACGACCATTTAAATATGCCAAACCAGTCCTTTCAAGTATACATTTATTAGTTTGTAAGTTTTAAATAAGAAAATTAAGCGACTAAACACTTATATATAGGGATAAGAAAGGCCTGGGGACATCTGAATATACTCATTGATTTTATACAGTCTCGTACAAAGAGTACATGCACTCCAAACCTTAATATAAGATTGTTCTGACTTATACAATAAGTATTTATTGCACTATAGTTGAGCTAAGAGGGTGACAATTGGAGTCTCCACCACAATAAACACAATTTCTACAGCTGGCAAACTGACAACATGTGTTATTTTATGGGATCATTGGGAATTCCTCTAGAGCTAAAACTTATAGTCGATAGATCGAAGGCAAAAGAAATCACTCCGTACCAAGAAGAAATTTAATGACAATCATATCTGATATTCTCCAACAATGAAAGACCTGCGTGATATTTGTATTTAATTTAAATTCTATAAGCACAGTCTAAAGCCAGAAAGATTGGTATGTAATGGCGTATACTTGTCACTGCGGACAAATACGTGTCGCTTTATTTGCAGCTCAATGCTGCCCTGTTATTCACAGAAACATAGTTCCGTCCCTTTTCATGACTTAAGGAAATTGCAGAGTAAATATTAGATTAGTTTTATGTGTTTGTCCGTGTTATTGAAGTCCGACTATCCTTTGTGTGTTCATTATGATAGAAACAAACATAAATGCAGTTCTAGTAGTTGATTTCTATTCCTTAATCCATAGTCTGAACTATAAATACTCAAGTATGGTTCCTTTGAATTAAAATATAAAATGGACAAACATGGCAACGCCATTAATCAAAGCTCTGGGTTATACGGTACACGGTACATAAAACGTAGGTATACGATAAATGCATCCAACAAAAAAATGCTTTCATGGTTTTAGCCTGTTTTGGTCGATAGGTGGCGTTTTGGATGTCCTTCCGTCACCGGAACTTCCGTCGCCATCATGAACAGCCACGTGCGGGACGTTCTTTCCGTAATGCATTGTCCGACTCATGCGGCCATGACTCTCCGTCGAGGATTTTTCCCGCGTCGGTTTATTGCTTTGCGTATCACCGGTATTTCCCTGCTGCTTTTTAGACGACGCGCCACTGCTTCCGATAGACTCACTACTAGACCCCAGTGACCCGTCCAGTGACGTAGCCGACTGTTGTTTTCCCTTGTCCTGGGGGACCTGTATGTTCGATTGTTTGCGCTGTTTCTGCTGCTGCTGTGATTGTTTACGTGTTTTTTCCGCCGCTTCCTTTTTCCCGCTCCCACACCGCTTTCCTTTTTTCCCTCGCTCTCCATCCTCGACGTCTTCGTGCGGAACTGGGGAAACATTCCCGTCCAGTGAGGGGAGTTCCCCGGGGACATACTTAGCAGCATCCCTGTAGGATGGGGTACACTGGTATTCGTAATGCACAAACAATTTTTTAAACTCTACCCGCCAACTGAAGCCGGGACCCTCACTTGACACTGAATTAGGGCGCCTAACATAGCAAGACTTTGGTCTGTCTGTTTGTCTGTGTCCCGTCTGACTGCCGTTTGGCGGAATCGCACCGGGTACAGTTAAATTGTACAAATATTCTGGGTTATTTCTGAAGTCTGATAAACTAGCACAACGAATGATTTGATTAAAATCTTTCTCATTGGGTAACTTTTCTCGTCTAGCTCCTGCAAATTCACGCACAAATATAGGTCTCTGTGCCAGGTATATACTGGATGTTGAACTGCTGCTCGACAGAGAGCCCCGCCGCGTAACAAAGGCGGTCTTTGGGCGTATAATGGAGCGCTCCGAAGCACTGTGTGTATTTAGTGTCTCTTTGGAAAACCTAAGGTCTAGTGTGGGAGGCGGCAGAAGTAGTTCCACATCTTCCTCCGCTATCCTCTCCGCCGTGGATATAATTGCCGCACAGCGCCCGTGAGAAAACTTGTGCGCCTCCTCCAGCGCCGAGAGTCCCTCGCGGTTTTTCCGGTCCATCTGTATTTTGTATTTCTTGTGGGCATGGACCACGAGTCGGACCAGCGGCACGCTTCCCGCTCTGACAGCGTAGTGAAGGACGGTATTCCCCCATTTATCTCCCTCTGTTAAATCAAAGTCCAGAGCATTTAGAAGAATTCGGGCCAGCTCTACACGGCCGTAAATGCAAGCTAAATGCATGGCGTTCATTCCGTATCTGTCCACACAGTCCAGGAGAGCCCCCTTCTCAATCAGGAGGCGCGCGATCCCCGTCCCCCACTCCTCGGGCTCCATCACAGAACACAACATTAAGGGGGTCCTCTGATTCCCATTAGGGGAGTCTATGTCTATCCCCAGGTCAATGAAGAACCGGACCTGTTGGAAGTACCCCCTCTCCATCACGTCTGTTAGTTGTACAATCGGGGCGGATTTACCCCTTCCTCGGAATTTCATGGTAAAATGTTCTTTTCTCCCGGTCGTAAATAGTTAAATACTGTCCAATAATCCTTTTTTTGTGTTTGACTAACTCCCAAATGAGAACGATTCCTGTACTCCTGGCTACATAGTTTCCAAACTTTTGAGTAATCAACACTAAAGCACTGGCGACCATGAAAAGAAACCGTACTGGGTCTATGTCAATATCTTATTTAAAAACTTTCAACAATTTTAAAATCAACACAGTCAAGCGAAGAATTACCTTTAAATTGAGAAAGGTAAAATTCTAGATCTAAAATCCAAAGATGGTCTCGCACCATTCTATCTACGTCAGCGACTGACAGATGATTGCACAGAGAATAAAAACGGTTATATAGATTGTGTCCAAAAGTTATTTTCTTTTTGAGAGTCTATTTTGTTTACCCCCGGAGCTAAATCTTCCATTCAATCAATCCTGCGTGCCCAAACAAGCCGATTTAGAAAGTGTCAAGTATTGCATTATCTTTCTCGTCTTACGGGATCTTTTTCTGGTGATCAATACTTTGATATAGAACTCTTTGAACTTGAGTGACGGTCCCAGAAGCCCCGCGCCTGATAAGGGCACCTGCTTCTGACACTGGTTTCCTTGGAAACATGTAATCTTTTCTCTGATTGGTACTTGGAAATTTGTAAGATACACGTTTATGAGATTTAGCTGAATATGAACTTTTGGTCACATAAAAAAAACCCTCTAGGTAAACTGAATTGGAATTCCTTGTGTAAATATTAGCAGGAATTATTGGGGAATCCGAAAAACTTTTAAAATACCTAGGTTTGGTAATATCAGTATAGCTAACTCATCGGAAATTTTCAACAATTTGTCAGTCACCCAGGGAGATCAGAACTCGGTTTGATTGTGAAAAAGTTTTTGTCGATTTAAATCACTTTTAAAGTTCCGTTTTTATTGTGCAGCAGAGGGAATATTGCGTGTTAAAACTCAATTTAAAAATCTCGAGACGACAAAAAAGAAAGTCAATAGTTCCTCTGATAATTATTTGTTTGTCTTTAATTACTGACGCCGCAGTTCATTAATAGTTCTTTGTACAAAAGATTTACTTATAACTGAAATTCCAGAGCATAAACAAACAAAAAACGTAAAACGTCAGAGCAAAAATTATAAAAAGCCTTCGAAAATGTCAAGTTACGGGCCTTCGATTTTATTAATTCAATGAGTCAAAAATCTTTGTACTTTCTCATTAAAGCGTTAAGATATATACCTCTTTTTATTTTGTTAAATGATCTGTTATTGCTTAAATAAACCTTTCTTTTATTACAAATTCTTAATATGAAATCTATATTAAACCTTAGTTGAAACCAATAAAAAAGTTATTTGCACATTCGATTAAAACCGCAAAAACATTTTCCCCTAGTAAAACAGAAAGAGAAAGTGTTCCATGTATATTTAATCCTAGCAACTGGGTGTCGAATGATAAATTGTGCGGTTATTAGGCTGAATGAAGAGGAGATACAGGCGTAACTAAGGCCCCGCGCGCGCAGGTGTCGTCTGCGTAGTGCTTCGGCTAAATACCAGTATTTACCTAATAAAGGGGGATCAAATGTGGATTCATGTCAATTTTATTAACTTTTAAGCTACAGAAAGTCAGGAGTGTGTGGTTTTATGCATATTAAAACACACACTTTGGAAAATTTCAATAAAGGTATACCACAATTAAGACACCCGAATTTTACATTAATTCTTTTTTCTTCATCATCTGGTAACAAATTTGACAAGTTGACAAACATTATCTACGTATGTGCAATTCATCAAGCCTTTTTTTGGTCCAGTGATCGTTGAACTTTTTAAAAAGTCACCGCCAAATTGATTTCTCTCCAATGAAAGGAAATGCACCCCATCTTTAATTTGTAGACATCGAATCTGCTTCATCCAAAAATCATTTGTGGCTAACGTACATGTAGTTGAAAATTGTTTGTGGAGGAGAATTCTAAATTTGAAAAGTTAACAAGTGTGCAACAACAGACAATGGACAAATTTTGCCCCTGATTCTTTCCTTAGCTTCCATCTTTGTGAGATCAAAAAATAAAACAGAAATTTTCATATCAATCAGTATTTATAATGAACTTTAAAAAAAAAAGACAATAGACATATTAAATGAAATTATCAATGATGCCATAAATTAAAATGACCATTTAATGATACACATTCTCATGACTCAGAGAAATAAAATTGTAGTTGGTCATCAAAATATAATAAGTTAAAGAAACTGACATTTCAAAACATCCGTTAACCACAACATTTACTGAAATGTTTAATTTTCTGTTCTTTTCTGCAATTAAACAGAGTGACAATGATCTTTATATACATGTACACTAGACATTGCAGCCTTTTGTATATAACTGTCACATGATCAGGAGTTGACTTCCTTTGCTGTATGTGTCCTGGCTAAGTATTGGCTGATTCACAAGCATCTATCCAATCACTGTACACATCAATAGGCTCAGATAAATCTGACACTACTCAGGAAAATCAATGTTCAAGAACTTTAGAGGGTGTCTTCCCACTTAGCCAAAATTCTGAAATTGACACAGGTATTCTGATGTTCAGCTTTTACACCACATGTAATAAATACAGGTAATAAGCCGAAAACATACTATACACAGCTAACCACTTAGGTGGGAAATAACAATTTTGGATAGATGGGAATAAGATTTTCAGAATTTTGGCTAATTGGGAATAAACCTTCCAGAATTTTTAAGGATTAACTGCATACCAGCATCATACTTATCTTTTACTATAAAAAATTAAAATGTCTATATTAAATTAGCACTTTCATTCTAAAAAGGACTTGCATGCATATACATGTACTTTTCATAGAAAAATAAAGTTTACATCATAGTATCCCATCAAGTTACATGTGAGTAAATGTCTTATAAATCATTCAGAAGTATTAAGGCCTTTAAACGGGACAAACTGAACATATTCCTGTAAGATACCAGGTAATATCATATGATAGATATCAGAAGGTAGATATCATTCAGGTATTTTCAGATTCTGGATATTAAGTAATATTATGTGCTAGGAATAAGAAGCTAGATAGCATGTAGAAAATTTTAGATGTTAGATATCCGAATCATAAATCTTAAATGCTAAATTTAAGGTACATGTATGATTGGGTAGATATCAGGTAATATCAAGTGTTGATATCAGATGTAGGATACAGTTAATGCTGGTTTGATAGTCCTCCAGACAAACTGTACAGGTAATGAACCCTGTGTTTCTCTCTCTATCCCTGAAAAACCAGAAAATTCACAATATAAACAATGATAAACCACATGTTTATAATCTACAAGATCTTGTATCTTTTAGATATATAGACAGTTCTGATGGCAGATGTGTAAACTTTTTTTAGGTAACAAACATAAATAATTGTGATCAAAATCAGGTCAAAAATATAAATACTAGTGTCCACGACCATACCAAACTGCTTTGTCTGTTGACCATTGGTTTCTTTTTTTTTCAAAGATTCAAAAAAGGAACAATATATTAAAACATGATAAAGATAATACTTAAAATCATTCTACATGTATAAAACTCAAGCTACACAATATACAAAGTGTCTTAATACTCACATTTTGACTTCACATGAAACTCACATTTTGACTTCAAATGACATCACAAGATACTCACATTTTGACTCCACATGATTCTCATGATACTCACATTTTGACTTCACATGATTTTCATGATGCTCACATTTTGACTTCACATGATAGTCACATTTTGACTTCACATGACTTCTCATGATACTCACATTTTGACTCCATATGACATCATGTGGTACTCACATTTTGACTTCACATGATTTTTCATGATACTCATATTTTGACTTCACATGACTTCTCAGGGTACTCACATTTTGACTTCACATGACTTCTCATGGTACTCACATTTTGACTTCACATGACTTCTCGTGGTACTCACATTTTGAATTTTCACATGACTTTTCTTGATACTCACATTTTGACTTCACATGACTCCTCGTGATACTCACATTTTGACTTCGCATGACTTTTCATGATACTCACATTTTGACTTCACATGACTTTTCATGATACTCACATTTTGCCTTTACATGACTTATGATACTCACATATTGACTTCACATGACTTCTCGTGGTACTCACATTTTGACTTCACATGACTTTTCGTGATACTCACATTTTGACTTCACATGACTTTTCGTGATACTCACATTTTGACTTCACATGACTTCTCGTGGTACTCACATTTTGACTTCACATGACTTTTCATGGTTACAGAAGGGGCAGTTAAACATGGTGTCCAGGGGCTGTAGTATCTTCCTCTTTGGGGGAGGTTTGTTTGCCTTCTTTCTTCTTCCCATTTCAGCTACTGTAAATCACAAAAATTAAAGCTTCCTAGACAGTGCAAGTAAAACAAAGACAAAAAAATCTGCACCAGCATGCAGAGATAAAATAGAATAAAGATAAATGAATGAAGAATAATAATCAACAAGTGAATTATTGGTAGTTAGCAAAGGTGGATCCAGGGCCAGATAAAACCAGAGATTTCCGAGTATTCATGCCGAGGTCTCTGGTTTTTTCCTACATCCATAACCCCAACCAGAAGTAAATGTATCTTATAAGATGTCTTAATTTGTATCAAGGTAATTTTTTAGGAATAAATGAGTGGTTTACAAAAAGAGGTTTAACCAGAGACTTCTGAAATGATTTAGTTGACAAGATTAGAGTCTTTTGAAGTGAACAATGTCATTTTAAAGTAGGTAAGGTTGATGATTAATGTATTAACAAATACAAACTTGAAGCGAGGGTGCCTGAAATTGAGTTAGGTATCTTGTGGTAAATATAAGTAGGGGGTACCCCTTTATAGGAAACAAGTGCCTGTGTGTAAAAGGATGTTCAAAGGGAAAAGTTGAAGCATGCAGCTAATTCATTTCAAACTGTATTGACACAAAACGTTGAGGTCTCTAATCACTTTGTGTGGCACTGAATTGAGATGTCGAGAACACTGAACCAAAATTTTTAGTCCCTTCAACATCTTGTTGTGAGTCGCTGAGATTAGGACTAAACCTGAATGATCAGAGTTTGGCAGTTTTTAGCTGCAGATCTGTAACGTTATGATTTTATATATTTGTCTCTGACCATAACGCTACAGATCCCGTAATGCAAAAAAGGTGCAATTTACGGTGCAATATTTTCTGCACACATTCGGGGAGAATTTCTCCTCTTTCTGGCATTCTCTTTCACTCCCTAATTCTAGGCACATTATTTAATTTAACTAATCTGTATATTTTACCCATCTCCATGTATAGTCATCTCTACAAGTGATAAACTCGCTTGATTAAAATTCTTTGTTAATCTGCTAAAATTTAAATTCAGCAAGTTTATTGCCTGTAGAGACAACTATAAATGGTCGAGATGTGGATAAAATATACATACTGGCTACAGAATATGTCTAGAATCGGGGAGTGAAAGGTAGAACTTTGATTGACCATAGATAGAAAGTGGAGAAATTCTCCTCATAAGTGCGCAAAAAATATTATAGGATTAAACGTTCTTTTTGAAAAATTTATCGATGTGTAAACTCTTGACATTTTACTCACAAACTAAATAAAAGTGCGAAGCACTTTTATGTTAAGTTTGTGAGTAAAATGTCAAGAGTTTACACATCGATAAATTTTTCAAAAAGAACGTTTAATTCTTATAATTCCAATATCGAATTTTTAAAAATATTTAAATTATTTCTCTTTGAGGCCTCCATACCATCCGTTATTTCTGGACGGCGTAGGAATACATTTTACCGTAAAGGAACGTAATCGAGATGAATTTGGATAGAGTTCAACTTAAATTGTCAAAACAATCGATAAATAAACTTATAACAACTATTGAACTAATCGAATGTTGTTTAAGTCAACATATATCGTAATTATGAGTTTACTTCAGAATAGTTCGTCTTTGACCATGGCCATGTTGACATAAACAACAACTCTCATAGCGAAAGTTGCAAACCGACGACGCCTTCAATTTGCACTTGTTTATTCAAATATTGAGGAAATATAGAAAGTAAATATGAATTTGATGCTAATAGGGCAAGAGTTTGAGGTACGTTTCTTTTCCCTGTCAAAACGATACAGACTGAGCTTATTTTCTACGTATGAACGTTGAGACAGCGATTTTTAAAATTCACACTCGTGATCGGACAGTGACATAAACATTTTCACGGCGTCCATCAGTTAGGCAGTCTAGTATGTTGCCAGTTTTGTTTAAGCCCTAATTAAATTTAAAGTTTCTTGTATTCATTATTTAGCCAGAACAGAAGAAATAACTGCTTTCATTGTTTATACGATAACCTAGTAGTGTCATCAAAAGTTCTGATTGAAAGAATTTATCGATGTGTAAAAATTTTCTGGAACGTGTTCTCGTCCAATCAAAACACAGGAAATCAATAGATAAAATGAAGATTGGAATTATTGCGCCATAAATTGCACCTTTTTTGCATTACTGGATCTGTAGTGCTATGGTCAAAGACAAATATATAAGACCATAATGCTACAGTTCTACAGCTAGGCAGTTCCAAATAATTTGCTGAAATAACTGTAACCAGTCGATTATTGGAGACGTAATACTGTGGCAGAGTGGTTTTAATAAATAAATAAATAATTAATAAAGAATATTTATTTATCTCAAAGTGTTTTACAGTTATCATTTTCATCATTGCACTTTTCACTTTGCATGTTACTAATTCTGACTGGCTGACCTTGTCGACCTTTGACATTACGAGTAACGTAGTTTTATTGGCCAAGGGTTTTGGCGGTAAGTTTCTATTGTTCGATGTGATGTGCGGGGGCACTTCCTTCTCGCACGGTCAGCCAACGATACCGGCTGTGAGACGAGTCTGTCTCGACCATTCCAAGATATACATTTTGGTTTTACCATATTACTACATTGAGTATTACTATACAGACCACATACAGTAAGTTATCTATTTTTCTACTTTTATCTTTCTATCTTTACGTAACATAATTTCTTTGATTGAAAGAAAGAACGAGTGAAGTTTTGAAATAAAGTTCATTGTCTCTTGTAAAGCAGTATTTTTCAGTAATCATATTGATTATAAGCAACACTGGATATAGATGTTGTAAATTGTACAGTTTTATTATTTTTATGATCAGCTTAAATATTGTTTTGAGATTACAGCTGAACCTGTGATTGTTGTTTTATATAGGTTCTGTATAGATGTAATATTCGAACCAGCATTTTTTGTTAATGCTCAGCCTGACTTGCAGCACATTTTTAATATATTCTGATAAATTATTCAACTTACCTATCTAAACACGATTTTGGTAATTCTGTAATTTGTATTATTTTCCTTTTTACGTTCATGAATTTGGAACATTTATAATCTAAATATATTTTTATTAAAATCCGTGTCGGTACGAACTGCATTGAACTGAATATATTGTCTGATGTCATTTACTTATTGTATTTTATTTCTTATAGGGCCGATTGATATTTTCAATTGTTTATATGTGGAACGGGATCCAATAAAGAATCCATGCAACCCTATAACTGTGTTTTCTTCAATATGACACGGTCACAATACAACAAAGTTGAAACTTTCTGCAACATGTGCCACTTGACTTGCAGCAAATTAACAAACCGGATAATATTGTCAGCACTAATTTTAGGGGGAAAATATTGACTATTGACAAATCCCGTGATGCCAAACAGTGAAACACGTGTCTTTCATCGTAAATAAACGTGTCTATAAAAATGATTTATGTAAAACACAAATATACAATAAAAACGTGTTTTCTACATAGAAAAATAACCGCTTACGTTTAAAAAAATCGAAACTTACGTATCACATGCGATGCAGATGGTGAAAACAAACAACCGGAAGTCCGCCAATAATAATTGAAACTTAGTCACTCGTTCCTCAACTATTTCTGATCTTATAAGAAATATTTATATCAAGATTTAAGTTTCAGTGATTTTGAAATTTAAACAACATGTACCCTTTTTTCATAACAAAAATATCAGATTAAAGAAAATCTGCATTTACATTTCTACAAATTTGATTAATTACACACGTCCGCAATCCAACATCGACATTTCCTAGTTTGAGTTAACCCGCACCTGCCTTGACTTCCATCGCGTCCCTGACACCAAGCAGAAGGGACAAAAGAAAATTGACTTAGTATTATTTTTGGTTGCTTTTAAAGCATTTATTTACATTCATTGGATTTAATACTTTAGTGAAACACAGAGGCGATGCCACGCAGGGCGCTTCGGTGTGTTGTGGACCTTAAACTGAGAGCAGTGAGTATATTCATGTCATGTCCTGTCTTGTTTCATCAAACCCGCACAAGACATCTGTACTTCAACAGTTCTGCTAACTTTATAGACTTTTTATAAAAGATGTTGAAAAACTCATAAGGAAAACTCATAAAAATACACTTATTTAAGCAGTAAAACAGTTTTAGCTCAAATTTCATTAAATTGTGATGATTATTGAAAATTGGATGCAAAATTAGGCCTAAAAATCATTACTGAATCCAGACTTGTGCATCATCGTATAGGCATATAACAATACACATGTATAACAGTGTTAAGTTTTTTGCTGGGATAAATGATTGGATGTATACAATAATTAAATTATTAAGATAAGTCCTAACTATGCCCAATACAATGCCTGGAATCAAGCAATCAATAGGGAAGAGCTGCAGAATTTAAAACTGTGTTATCATTCGATGTTGCCATGGAGATTTATTTCCTCAGATGGACAGTTAGAAAAAATTCGAGTGGAATTTAAAAATAAAACTATTAACATGTGTGATCTCCCACCCAATTTGTAATGCCAACATCTCATATCCATATGCAAATTATACATGTTATAGTAGATGTATTATACTTGTCTGACTCTCTAATCTGGGCAGCCAAAGAACAAACTGTGAATTATGCATTTTGTTGCAGCAGTTAAATTTAAAATTCTGTTTCCCCAACCCTGTCCTGTTTTAGAGGAGAAAATGATACATCTTTATTCTTATCCTAATATATGATTGATACCCATTTTAAGTTATACAATCATTTATAATCATAAATGTTTCTTGTAATACTTTACAGAGTGTAAATTTCTGTTTATTTCTATGAAGTTATAAAGTTTATTCATGTAATTTTAAAAGCATGTACTGGATTTAGATATCTTTCATCTAGATACAGTACATGTTTCGTATTTGTTTATTGATAGATCTCATTATTTGCATGTAATTGTTGATTTATTTTAATTTTAATTGATTTAATTATTTTAATTTTCTTTACCCCCAGGTGACTGCTCCAGGGGTGTGGTTGCCCAGCAGAGAGGATGTCTATGTCAGCATCAGTCTGTTTGGTCAGTACAAGAATACATGTCTCGTAGAGTCGGTGTTCCCATTAATCATCAGAGAAGACTTCACATTTGAGAAGGTATTACAGCAAAAGGATCACATCATATAGCTAAACAACACTGTAAAATATACAAGCTAAATATTGACTATAAATAAAGGGCTAATCAAGTGATATTTATCTTATTTTATATTTTTTATCACTGTTTTAATGGAAATTCAACCTTTAGATGTATAACCAGTAGGCCTAATTCACTCATTTTCTTGTAGACCTACTACACTGCCTTAGACCCATCAGAAGTTGTGGACTATTTAGAGGGTAATTATTTAGATCTTACTACATTCCTATTTTCAAACTTTTCAATTTAGCAGACTTGTCCCAGTAAGCATCCAAACTGATCAGAGAATTAAGTAGAATAGCAATAATCAGTTCTGCATTTGTTCTCCCAGATAGAGTGGTTTACATTATTTGATGATGTGTTATCTTTTGCATGTGAAAGTGCATTTGTTAATTTCATTTTGAAAAAAAGAGAATGATAAAAATTATACTCATTAGGATGAAGAGAGAATTGTTAGAAAAATATTAAATATTGTAACATACTAAAATTTTTAAAACTTTACAGATGAGTTGATTGTGTTTGAGCTTTTACAACTGTCAGAGTTTGGCGGAGCTAACAGACTTGCCTCCTACTCCTCCAGCGCGCGTGACTTCCTGTATCCCGCCCCGTCACTCTCTCCATGTTACGCCTCAGGAGCCCGAGAAATTCTCTTCCACAGGTCTATTGACTTCCCGGTAGGTATCTGTCTAAATTGCAAAGTTGTAATTCTTGGTAAAAATTGGTTTGAAAAGATTAATCATTTTGGTTAGTTGATGTTCTCCCAAAATTCTTTGTATCATTCTCATCTAGAATTGTTTTTAAAATGTCATTATAATATTCCAGGGCATAAGTCCAAAGCTAGAATTTGTCTCCATTACAAACATCAAGGAATCGCTGTCTCCAGAACTAGATGCTTTAGAGGACTCTCTGAGAGATGAGAGAGTAAGTAAAGTCTGTAAATAAGTAAACTGACACGCAATGATGCTGTGTTATTATCCTTATTTAATACATTTTTGGTAAACATTTAGAGATCCCGGAGACGATCCCGATCCCGCAGTCGATCCCGCCCCACGAGTCGCCCATCATCCCGAGCCTCCATGAGGTAAGATCAATTACTCACAGACAAACTCGGCCTCGAGTGAATCAGAGTTCTGTGTGTCAGCACTCACGTTTGTCCACATTATAACATTATAAACAGAGGTCACTAATTTTTTACTTTTTTTTTCTTAATGAGATTTGAAAGACTTCTGAATTTAACAAATTTAATTGCTATAATTGTGGGAATTGAAAGTAATGTTTATTTATAAGCATTCTGTAGTCCATACTCTGTTTTACATGTACATAGAGTGGGTTTGTATTGGGATTGTAGTAACTATGTGTATAACTCTATTCCTCTCTTATATTTCACATTGTACAAATGCTTGTTCTGCACTGCTTTCTAGTCTCTCTCTCTTGGTGATGGGAATTTTGAAACTTTTGATTACAAATGATAAAAAATTTAATCTCTTCTTTCATTTTAAAACATAACTATCTCCTAAAGTAAGCAACAATACAATATTAATTTAGCTACTGTTCTATTAGCCAAGACATTGCTATTAATATCTACTGTTCTATTAGCTGAGACATTGTAATGTAGATTCTATTAGCTGTTCTATTGCTAGCCTATTGTGTCCTTCCCTATCTCTCACCTCACTCTGTCTTTTCTGTAGGACCTTTGTAGACGTGGACCCTGCAGAGGACCTCAGATCCTACCACAAGCCAACCATTTCTTCTATTTGTCATTCTAGGTCACCCTCCCCGGCCGCACGCTGGAAAAGTGACGATGTCTACGTACCCAAGCTCAGCAGCACTGAGGGAAGACCCCCATTTGTTGTTCGTCATGTAAGGGTTATTTATAATGCAAACTAAAAAAATCTCATCCTCTTTGCAATGACTTCTTTATTTTTAAATAAAATTTTACTGTTAGAATTCTTTAAATTATTTCTTGTGTGTTACCGATTTTTAATTCATTTTTCTTCAGTTAGAAAAATCCCTTATTGGGAGAGTTCCAGGCAGCGGTGATGGCCTCAAGGCCAAGTCAAAGAAGAAGGTCAAACGTGGGAGGTCAAGGTCGCGTAGTCGATCTGTTAGTGCTATGTCTGACTCAGGTAAGTATCTAAAAAAAAATATTTTCCAAGACATAAATTGTTTTGGCCAATTCTCATGAAGTATATTCTTCTGAAACATTCTGATACGTTCTGCAAGAAAATTCTGTTTGCCTCTTGTGTGACAATTCCATACAATTTTACTAGCGCTGCATGCCTCCGTAAGTTCCCTACCAGAAAACAGATGCTGTGTCTGTAGCACCTACAAAAAGCACATGGGTAGGAGGTACTGGGGTCACACCCTCAATTATCACCCAACAGGGCTGACTCCCAAGACTTGCAATGTCAGGAAACACAGCCCTAGGGGGCCTCTGAGTCCCAGAAATCACAGCCCTAGGGGGCCTCTAAGCCCCAGGAAATACAGCCCTAGGGGTTCTGTAAGCCCTCTAGGGTCCAGTCCTAGGAAACCCCTCAGTCCCCGCAGACATAGTCCCAGGAAGTGCCTATTTCAGGTAGAATGTTCCCTTTGTTCTGGTTTGTTGTTCTGCATGGATGGCATCTCATGGAGGATGTTGTTTCTGGGAGGCATTTTTTTTCTTTTGACTGAAACAGAGGTTTCGTCCATGTTCAGAATTTGTAGTGAATTTGAATGTTATTATTCTAGTTTATCTGTTTATTATTTCATCTTTTGTTGTGTTTGGTTTATTTTTAAATACACATTTCCATTTCATATTTGGGGAAATATCTACAACAGTTACAAGTAACTGTACACATAAAAGAATAGGCCCATGTCATTTAGTCAAAACATACTTTTAAACAAGGCAAAAATGATTAAGCTCCATTTTTAATATATCAGAACTCTTTTGTGTATGTAGTGTAAGGTACTCTGTTAAATAAATTCTAGCATATTTCCTCAAATATTGAATGCATGCTGGGAGTTTTGATGTTTTGCATGACTGTTTTACAGGGGGTTACTATAGTGATTATACCAGCTATCCCAGTGTTACTCACAAATACCGCCTAAAAAAGGTAACATAAAAATATTCTAATATCTATCATGCAAATTGTAATTATAAAGTGTACTTTTCATATAAGACTGTAAGTATTATATATAATGAAGTGTATAAAATCTATTACTATAGTACATTTTTTAAAAATACAAAAATTATTCAAGGTTATAAGACCTTGAGGTTTTCTGTGAATATTTAATCTAAGGTTTTACCATAATACTGTAGACTTCTTCACTGGATGGTGACGATCCCCTCCCCCGAGCCTCACCCCGGCAGTTCCTTAGTGACGACGAAGGTCTGTATTCATTTTCGTTTCTGTTTATTTATAAATGTATACACTAAATATG